TTTTTAATTTTCGCATTGTTGACAGATACAAACAGTTATACTCAAGGTACTGTAATAATCGCAAAGGAAAAAGTTTTGGGATAACTTATTTGCATGTTGGTAGCTGAGAAAAGTATCATCAGTCTAGAATTGATATTTGAGTATAGTAGAGCTTTGGGGCTTTGAAGGCAGGTTCAAGAAAGCATATGTCAATGGTTGAGATATTTATTTTCCATGTGGTTCCTGTTCAAATGTTCACAACCACAATGCATCTGACTGCAATAATGTGCTAATAATTTATGTCAGTGGTCACCTTGCTCACAGTAAAGCCAGAAATGCTCTCTCCAGGGAGTAGATGTAAAGTACTTGTACATAGAATTCAGAACCGAAGATATTTATTAAAAGTTGATTTTTTTTCTTGATAGTATTTTTATGTACTAAATATTTACACTAATATCAATTACATGTTTTGGTAAACTAGAGAGATATGATTAGAGGTGCATGCTTTGTTCTGTGCGTAGAGGAGACATTTAAGCAAACTACTATAGCCAACTCAAACGCTAAAACTGAACTAATTTGATGTTATGCAAGCATCTTGCATTTTTAGTAGTTGATATTAAGTTGATGACTTGTTTCCCTTCAAGGAAACATTAAATTGTATGGACTCAGCTAGCTGTTCAATGAAATTGTGAATTAGAAACATTTTTTAAAGTTTTTGAAAGAGGTAAATGTGTCATGAATTACATGTAAATGAGAGGAGATAGTGTTATCAGCATAATGATTTTGAGTTCAGTACCTGAACTGTGTAAAAATATATTATGCAAACTAAAATGTAGATAAATTAAACTCTCAAAGCACAGAATGTGTAAGAACTTTTGCATTTTAATCATTGTAAACTAACACCTTAAACTATTGACTCTATACCTCTAAAGAATTGCTGCTACTTTGTGCAAGAATTTTGAAGGTCAAATTAGGCAAATTTCAGATAGTAAAACAATCCCTGAGCCTTAAGTCTTTTTTTATTTTTCCTAAAAATTCCCATAGAATAAAATTCTCTCTAGTTTACTTGTGTGTGCATACATCTCATCCACGGGGGAAGATAAGGATGGTCACACAAACAGTTTCCATAAAGATGTACATATTCATTATTATAATTCTGACCTTTGGGCTTTCTTTTCTACCAAGCTAAAAATTCCCTTTTATCAAAGTGTACACTACTGATGCTGTTTGTTGTATTGAGAGCACGTAGCAATAAAAATGTTAACAAAATATAGATCTGGCTCTATCTAGATTTTATCATTAGATTCATCATGGGGTGATGGAAAAGTGTATTTCCTCTTACACAGTGAAATGGCATCAAATTTATCTGCTACCTGTAGTTACTTGAAAGACTCAAGTGACTGTCTCCTGTTTTCACATCATGGTATATTACAATGATTTTTAAAAAAAAACCAAAAGCAAAATAAGAGGTGGCTTTTTGGTTAAATCTGTCTCATAGAACTATGAAGAAGATGAGTAAAGATAGTGACCATGCTAGTATTTCAGAGAAGGAAATGGTTACCTTCTGTTTTTAAAATCTGCAACCTCTGAGTGATTTTTAAATAAAAGCTTTCCATTAATTTTGAACCTTCATTACCTGAGAATTGGCGGAAACACATTACTCAAGACTCAGGAGTCTGGGGAGGCAGGAACCATCACAGTGCAAGGCCTTTTGGTATGGAATAAACAAATGGTGCTAAAATTACAAATCTGCGCAAAGAACAAGTCTTTCAGATGAGATATTTGGAGACTTACAAGATGCTCACTCCCACTAGTAGTTCAAGGTAAAAACAAACTTCTCATGGTGGAAGATACAGAGCCAGTAGGTCTGCTTTCTATTCCTGAAACAAAATGACAAGATTTCTAAACTTCTCAGGAAGTTATGATACTCTGGTTAAGAGTATGAGCAGTACAATCAGACTGCTGGTTTACCTCCTGGTTCTACAGTCAACCAATGGTGACTTGGAGGAGTGACTTAATGTGACTAAGCCTCACTTGTTTTATATGTAAAATGAAGATGATAACACTACATACATCATAAAGCTGTTTGAGCAAACGAAAATTGAGAATCCTGGAAAAACAATAAACACAGTCCCTCATGGGATAGACATTAAGTGTTGGGTAAAAGATTGCCATTGTTATTTTCTCCAGAATATCTATTTTTTAAAAATTTATCTTGTGATGCGTGATCAACAAACTTCAAAGGATTCAATTTGAATATTTTAAACCAAGGAAACGATTTCCACAAAGTCCCTTCTGCCCCAAAGTATCCCATGTGCCCGAAAGAATGTTGAATACAAGAATAGAAGCAGAGAGTTGCATGAACTATGTATATAATGCAACAGGTTTTTCATAATAGACACAACCTGACAAATGACTCCAAAGATTAAGGCAACTGTTTTTTCTATGGTGGCATCATGCACTACAAGATATTGTCCTCAGACTTGCTGCCACCAAGTCAATCCTCTTCTCTTGATTACAGACTCTCTGGGACCTAGAGAAGGGGCTCTGGGTCTTATATGCCAAGGGAAGAAGGGCTCATATATACCCTTTAATCGTAATTGAACTATAGACATTCTGTCCCTGGACAAACAAAAAAAAAATCTATTTTGTATTCATTAGTACCTAGAACTGTGCCCTGCCTATTGTACAAACTTTGCAACTATATCATCTACTACATTCTGTAAAATCTCTGCTGCCGAAAACAGATTTCTCGGAGTTATGACTGTGTATCCCTTCTGTTTTTAGACTTTTTCTGTCTCTGTTAACTTATTTGACAGAAACAGGAACTAGCTAGTGTTGAACTGGAAAGGATCTTTAGATATTATCTAGCCTAGCACTCTTCCTTTTCCAGGAATAGGATTAGGACCCAAAGGTGATGTCTCCAAAATCTCATTTGTGAATTTGGATAGAACTGGGATTAGAAGAGAGATTAGTACTCCAACTTTCAGTTCATTTTTTCTCTCATAGATAGGACCCATCTATTCTATAAAAATAAGGGACTCCAATGAAAGGAAAGTCAATCATCCCAAGATCAGCAAGTGTCTATGTGGTCATCCTAAAGAAGAGAGCCAAAGTGTGCATCTTGACAGATAAAATGTGAAGGTCTAAGACTGAAGTACTTTGCACTTCCAAATGAACCTGCTGCAACCACCATGTAACCCCGAAATATGTCCAGCTATATGCTAGGGACATCTTCATTTGTTTATATTGGCAACAGGAATGAGTTGTATTTCTATAGCCTTTTCAGAAGACCTGTCCAAAATATTCTGGTTTTGTTTGGAGAGGGGCATTGCAGCCCTCATTTTTACATCTCAGATGTTGCATGGTGTGTGGAGATAGCAACATAGCATCTAGTGGAATGCTTTAGTTAATTTCCACAACGTTCCTAACATGGAGATTGACTTGTCAGAAGCAGCAGCCACTCTGATTCCATCTGCTTTTGCTCTGAGTTTTCATGACCATTAGAAATGTTCTTGAATGATGTGAGTGATCTGGATAAATAGTCTCTTTAGCCATATAGCCGAGTGCATTATTTTCTTCCCTTCATATTTGTTCTTCTGACTTGAATCTTTGGTGTTTTCTTACATACATTTATTAAATTTACAAGCAGACCCAGGTCTGCATCATCATAGAAGGAAGGATCAAACTTGCTTGAATCTGTTTCTGCTTCACGACCCACTTTCTGATCTCCTTTCTTCACCACCAAACTTTTCAAGGGACTGGCTTACATTCTCTGCCTCTCCTCTTTCCCGCCCTTACCAGCATTCACTCTGGGGCCCACTGCAGCCTGTATTCTACCTCAAGCACACAACAGAAGAACCACTCTCAAAAGTCATTCCTAATTGCTCCTTCTCACTTGAAGAATTCATGGATTCAACAAAATTTTATTGTGCTCTGATTGTGTGCCAGGCAGCATTCCAGGTGCTTACAATACAGTAGTGAGAAAATAATGAAAATTCCTGCTGTCCTATAGAGGGTACATTGTAGTGGAAAACACACAGCAGACAGTAATCATCGTGCATGGCTTTGATATCAAGTACGTTAAAACGTGATTAAGAAGAGCAAAGTGCAGTACTGAGTGGGAAAGTAGTGGTAGACTCATTTAGAGGGTGAAAAACTTGAAGGAAGTAAGAAAATTATTTCTACCATCTCTGGAGAAGAACATTCCAGGAAAAAGCAGCATCCAGTGCAAAGTCCCTAAAGTGCAATATATCTGGTAAGTGCAAGGAACAGCAATAAGGACAGTGAAGTGGATATAAGTATTTGATGGGGTCACTAGGAGAAGATAAAAGAGAAGAGGTGAGAAATCACACACAATCTCGTGGGTTCGTATAAAAACTCTGGCCTTTATTTTTCCCAGATTCTCTCCAGCATTACATGGCCTTGGTGAAAAGAACCCGGAATTTTGTCTCATGCAACTTGGGTTTAAATCCTGTCTTCCATTCATGAACCCGTAGGACTTGTCTCTAGTATATAGTTCCCTCATCTACAAAGTGGAATGAAAGTATTATCTGACAGACTTCTAGTGTGAATCAAATGAGCTCATGTCCCTAAAAATGTATTTTTAAGGATACTATTACAGTTGATTTCATTATAAATTTTTATATTATAGACTTTG